GTCCTCAACACATACCTTTTCGTGTCATGGAGCTACTAAGACCCTGACTGTGTCCTCACAGTATCAAGGTTATCCTCTATCTGGTAAAATTGAGTATCTGTCCAACAAGAAATCAATGGCTTTGATTGATGGTACATTTAACATTTCCCCAGTTGGATTAATGAGTGGAAAGTTCGAAGCAAAGATGAGTCATTATGATGAATTGAAAACACTGAAGATTACAATGGATCAATCCAACGAGCGAGGTGAAACTGTTACCAGATCATCTGTCGTCCTTCCTACTGGAGACACAATCACGATGGAAAACCGTGGACAATGGAGCAATAAGAAGAGCTTCAACACTATTCTGAACACCCCTTATGAAAATCTTCGCAAAATGACCATTGGTGCCGAGTTTTCAGGCGACTACAAATCCTTCCATACCAGCGCTAACCTGATGATCAGTCCACTCTTTAAGCCAATATCTGTTGCATCGCAGTGGAGTTCATATGGTGGAATAATCGCAAATATTCAAGTTAACACTCCGTTTGAACAATACAAACAAAGCCGTGTCTCATTTACACACAACAATCAGAAAGAGGAAAAAGTCACAGAATTAAGTGTTGAATATTTACAAGGCAAGACAATTAAGTTGGAGTCAACCCTGCGACCTAGTCTTGAAAACTTACAGGGTAGCATTGCTCTAACAACACCATTCCAAGAACTCCCCTATTCAGCAGCATCAATTCGCCATCGTGGTAATAGTCTCCAATTCCAATGCCATGGAGAAATTGAATACACTCGAGGGAAGAAGATCCAAGGTGATATAACCTATTCCAATAGTAAAAAGGTAGAGGGAACCTTAGTACTTAGGTCTCCTTTTGCTAATGATTTCATTGCTGCGTTTAATCACGAGGGATCCTTATCTCATTTCTCCTCCCACGCAGAAATGCAGTACGGGAAATCCAAAAAATATGAAATAACTGGAAACTTTGGCAATTCAGCTGGAAATGTAATCATTAAATCCCCTCTTCATGAAGACATGTCTGCTTCTTTTAAACATAGGGGAAGCATTTCTGATTTCGATACACACATTGATGCTTTGTATGGCAGAGGGAAAAAATACGAATTGGATGCCAAGTACCGTCAACTATCTGGAATGCTCAGCTTCAAATCTCCACTCTTAAAAGATATGAGTGCTTCATTTAGCCATAAAGGAGACCTAAATGATCTTGCATCCCATGCCGATTTTCAATATGGTGAATCAAAGAAGTATGAAGCAAACATGAAACTTTCACTCGCTAAAATATCAACAGGATCAGTTTCATTTTCCTCTCCAGTCACAGATGACTTTGAAGCATCTTTTTCACTTGAAGGCCGCATGAGAGATTTCAAAACAACTTTCGATGTTAAATATGGAAAACATAAGGGTTCAGTCAACTCAGCGTTTAAAAATGCAAAGAAACTTCTTGGGTCCCTCGACCTTAGATCTACCTTTGCCGATAACATGAAGGCTGAATTTTCCCATGAAGGTGCTCTGAGCAATTTCGAAACCAGTACGTCTTTAACAAAGGGAGGAAAGGTTGTAATAGAAGGGTCTCTTGCGTTTTCAACAGGAAAGAGAATAAGCGGATCAGCAATATTGAAAACACCATTCCACAGGGACATTTCAGCAACATTCAAACATTCTGGCGATCTCTCTAGATTTCAGACTACAGGAAGCCTGAAGATGGACAAGAAAACACAATTTAAATTGATTACTAATGTACTCTTTAAAAAAAGAGTCAAAGCCACCATCCAAATTGAGAACCCTTTTACAGATCCCATCAAGCTTACTTTGACCAGGAAAGGAAAACCAGCAAACATGAGAATAATAACAAACTTAGATATTGGAAGCAAACAACAAAGATATACAGCTGATATCACCCTGAAACGAGAATCAACATTTGCTGTTCTTGTAAACATTGCCACTCCTATACCAGAATACAAGAAAGTGAAGGGAATCTGGAACTTCAATGGAAACATGAAGAGTTTCAAGACAAGTGCCCGAGGTTCAATTGGAAGGGAGTCCATTGCTGCAGATATCAAGATGTCTATCTACCCTGACTTTAAGGCCGATCTTTCTGTGGAGACACCGTTTAAAGGATACAAAAAGGCTGGTGTCATCCTCTCTCATCAAGGTTCGCTGAGGAATTTCCAATCTCATGGAGAGGTAACTTTCGGAAAGAACAAACTTTACAATGCAGATATAATGTTTGCTATAGATCCCAAGATCGCTACCTCTATTGCACTTCAAACTCCATTCAGAAACTTTGAAAAAAGCGAATTTTCTGTGACACATGATGGATCTCTGAGCAACTTCAACAACCAAGTCAACATCTTAATCCCCAATAAAAAACGCATTTTGTCTAGTCTCAAAGTGGATTCTCGATCAGATATTTCAGTAGAGGTCTCACTCCAGACACCCTTTAAAGACTATGAAATGATGCAAGGAACATTTACCCATAGAGGCAACTGGAAGAACTTCCAAATTCATGCCGAAGGATCTGATGGAACCAATAAGAAATTGACGGGAGAAATTGGAATGAGCCTTCTTGATCAAATATCTGGGTATCTTAAATTCACAAGTCCCTTTAAATCGGCACAACTAGTGAAAGCAAGCTTATCACACGACGGAACATATAAAAATTTCCGCAGTCATGCCGAATTTGAACTGAATAATGACAAATCTGAAATTGATGTCAACTTCAGTTCCCTAGTTAAACTAGAAGGGAAAGTTCTTGCCAAGTCACCATACTTTGAAACGATTGACGGCACCTTTGCACATGAAAGCTCTCCCATTTTGACTACAACTACAATCAAATATGGAAGAATAAGTCTGTTGGACGGAAAATTGTCGTTGAAATCATCTCCTCTCCAAGGATCTTTGTTTCTGAATTCTGTCTACATTAAACCTCTGAGAGCCAGCATATCTCACACAGGAACACTTAAAAAATTTAACACCGAAGCTGAAATAATTTATGGAAATGAAAACATTAAATCCAGTACAGAATTCGACTCCACAAATGATATATCTGCTAGAACCTCATTTACAACAACATTTGGAAAAATCAGTACTGTAGCCGCTTCATTTTCTCATGCTGGAAAATTGAGCAACTTTAAATGTCACGCTGAGGTATCTGCTAACGGTCAGGCTGTTGAAGGTGATTTAACATTTACAAGCATTAATTCACTTGAGGGAACCATGTCCATACGCACACCATTTGCAGATTATAGAGAAAGCAATTTCCTCTTCCGACACAATGGTGGTCTGCTTAATTTCAACAGTCATGCTGAATATTCAATTGAAGGGGAAAAATCTGAAATTGAGTTGAACGTTGAAATGGAGAAGAGAATAAATATCAGTGGATTTGTGAAAAGACCGTCTGCAAATGATGTCATCTTTAAACTAACTCATGCTGGATCTAGCCAGAAATTCAAGAGTGGAACAGAATTGACCTATGGAGGAGAAAAGAAAATCCAAGGAGAAGTGTCCTTTGATACAGTTCCTTCAATTTCCGTCCAAGCTTCCCTGACATCAAAATGTCCAGTTGTCAAGACCATCCAGCTTTCTATCATACAAACTGGTGCATCTGAAAATTTCAACATCAAATCTTCAGCAAGTTTCAATGGAAAAGAAATAACCGGAAATGTTGGGCTTGACCGACGCAGTGGAATCAATGGTTACGCAACACTGAGAACGCCAATCTCTGAGGATATCATGGCATCACTCAAGCATAATGGTCCCTTAACAAACTTCCAAACTCTTGCAGAAATTTCATACAGTGGAAGAAAGCAAATCGAATTGGACGCATCACTCGATGCCTCATCATCTATTATCGGACAATTATCATTGAAAACTCCCATAAGTGAAATTAATGACATCAAGGCTAATTTCCGTCATGAAGGGGATCTAGATAACTTCAAAAATTCAGGATCAGTCAGTTTATCTGGGAACGAAAAACTTTCTGGAGATGTGTCCTACAGTTCCAGTCCCATATCTGGATCATTCAATATCAGAAGCGTACTTGGACAACTAAATGGAGCATTCAATCATGAGCAGTCACTAAGGTCAATGAAATCCCATGCTGAACTTAATGTTGATGGATACATTACCCAGATAGATGCCACTTACTCCAACGATGGTATTAAAGAAGGATCGGTGTCTATATCAAGCCCATTCGTTGGAAATATCGGCGCTGTTTTCACCCACGATTACAATGACTATCAAATTACAAGCAGTATAAAACTGCATTCAGAGGACAAAGTTATTGCTGCAGCAACTGAGGTTGCCTTTGTTGATGGAGTAAGTGGGAAAGTTTCTTTGAAAACTCCATTCAAGGGATACGAACAGCAATCCATTTCCGCTAAATATGCATTCACTGATGATCTAACTGGAGAATTTACTATTGATTACAATAATGGACAAAAGATTGAGGGACATATGTCAATAACAGGAAGAGACTCTGTAGTAGGTAAACTTATCATCAAAACTCCCTTCCAAGGCTTCAGAGAGTCCAGCGCTGACGTATTATATACCCTTTCCTCTTCAGGTCTGAAAGCAAATGCTAAAGTCACATTCCGTCAGCAGAGCATTTCTTCTGAGGTTAGTTTTGCCAAGAATCCCCTCCAAGGCAGCGTTCTACTGAGAACACCATTTTCTGGCTTTGAAGAAATGAAATCTTCCTTCAACCATGTCAGTTCTGGGACTGGCTTCAAAAACCACATTGAAGGAACAATTGGAGGAAAAACCGTTCAAGCTGACACTTTATTCAACCACAGGAATTCAATAACTGCAAGTACTACGATTAATACCCCTGTACAGGGAATGAGAAAGCTTTCAGCCTCTTTCAACCATGAAGTCAAAGGCAGTGGTTTTTCGACCGTAGCTAAAGCAGGAATTGAAAGAGAAGAAATATTAGTGGAAGCCTGTCTCAACAAAAGACCAAGTTACATGGGCTCTCTCAAGGTTTCAACTCCTTTTCAGCTTCAAGTTTCTCTCTTTTAAAGTTGCCTTCTGCGCGTCCAGTTAAAGCTCTGGATGATTGTTCAACTTCAAGAAGGAAGTCCTGCTCTTCAAAGCCATTGAAAGGTGTTCTTAGAGATACTTTAAATCCATTTTTCCTTCCCTTGATAATATTGAGATCAAACTCTGATTTTTGTTGATTGAAGAGGATCTCGGCGTGTGTCTGGCAACCCTCGCTGGTCATTTCATGAGAAATGAAAGCTTCTTGTTTAAGATATCCCTGGAATGGCGTTCTAATTGCAATTTGTCCCTCCATTTTTTTACCTCTTTTGAAAGTGATGTCCATTTCCACAGTTTTCTCCATGAATGTTCCCTCCAGTTGCATTTTGGAACCCTTCTTTGAGAACTTGATGTTTTGACTCTCGTATGAAGTGAACGGTGTTTTAATGGAGAGACTACCTTGGTTGGCAGAAAGTTCTCCATCAATTTCAATGGTCTTTTGTCTGAAAGTGGCCTCTGCATGGGCTTTCTGGTCATCAATGGTAAACAGTACATTCTGATTCTCGTAAGAAGCAAAAGGTGTTTTAACTGAAAGACTACCTTTTGTGGCTGAAATTTCTCCATCGATTTCAATGGTCTTTTGTCTAAAAGTGGCCTCTACATGAACTTTTCTGTCATCAATAGTAAACAGTACATTCTGGTTCTCGTAAGAAGTAAAAGGTGTTTTGATCGAGAGACTGCCTTTGTTGGCAGACAGATATGAATCAATTTCAATGGTCTTTTGTCTAAAGGTGCCCTCTACATGAATTTTCTTGCCATTAGTCGTAAAGCTTATTCTTTGAATTTCAAAACCGGGGAAAGTTGACTCAACGGAGAAGAATCCCTGAGTAGACGAAAGTTCACCATTAACTTCAACTGATTTCTGTCTAAATGACAAAATACCGTGTATTTTGTTATTTTCGCCTCTGAATTGGATTTTCTGTTTTTCAAAGCCTGAATATGGCGTGGTGATTTGGAGATCTCCATCAACGATTGTATCGATATTTATATTACCAGCAACTTCGATTTTCTTCTTCTGATATGTAGCTTCCGCTTGCGATTGATAACCCATCAGAGTCTTTTCAAAATTGAAGGACAATTTTTGGTCTTCAAATCCCGAGAAAGGAGTTAAAACCTTAAGAGAGCCTGTGAAACTTGGTCTTTTGTTGAAACTGGCTTCGACTAATATTTCTTCTTTTTCAATTCCTGCTTTAGCTACGGTCGAAAAACCACTGTCTTTGACTTCATGGTTGAAAGAGGCTGAAAGTTTTCTCATTCCCTGTATAGGGGTATTAATCGTAGTACTTGCACTTATTGAATTCCTGTGGTTAAAGGAAGTGTCAGCTTGAACTGTTTTTCCTCCAATTGTTCCTTCAATGTGGTTTTTGAAGCCAGAACTAGAACTGACATGGTTGAAGGAAGATTTCAATTCTTCAAAGCCAGTAAATGGTGTTCTCAGAAGAACGCTGCCTTGGAGGGGATTCTTGGCAAAACTAACTTCAGAAGAAATGCTCTGCTGACGGAATGTGACTTTAGCATTTGCCTTAAGGCCTGAGGAGGAAAGGGTATATGATACGTCAGCACTGGACTCTCTGAAGCCTTCGAAGGGTGTTTTGATGATAAGTTTACCTACTACAGAGTCTCTTCCTGTTACTGACATCTGTCCCTCAATCTTCTGTCCATTATTGTAATCAATAGTAAATTCTCCAGTTAGATCATCAGTGAATGCATATTTAGCGGAAATAGATTGTTGTTCGTATCCTTTGAATGGAGTTTTCAAAGAAACTTTCCCACTTACTCCATCAACGAAGGCAACTTCAGTTGCTGCAGCAATAACTTTGTCTTCTGAATGCAATTTTATACTGCTTGTAATTTGATAGTCATTGTAATCGTGAGTGAAAACAGCGCCAATATTTCCACAGAATGGGCTTGATATAGACACGGATCCTTCTTTAATACCATCGTTGGAGTAAGTGGCATCTATTTGGGTATTGTATCCATCAACATTAAGTTCAGCATGGGATTTCATTGACCTTAGTGACTGCTCATGATTGAAGGCTCCATTTAATTGTCCAAGCACGCTTCTGATATTGAATGATCCAGATATCGGGCTGGAACTATAGGACACATCTCCAGAAAGTTTTTCGTTCCCAGATACACTGACTGATCCTGACGTTTTGAAGTTATCTAGATCCCCTTCATGACGGAAATTAGCCTTGATGTCATTAATTTCACTTATGGGAGTTTTCAATGATAACTGTCCGATAATAGATGATGAGGCATCGAGTGATGCGTCAAATTCGATTTGCTTTCTTCCACTGTATGAAATTTCTGCAAGAGTTTGGAAGTTTGTTAAGGGACCATTGTGCTTGAGTGATGCCATGATATCCTCAGAGATTGGCGTTCTCAGTGTTGCATAACCATTGATTCCACTGCGTCGGTCAAGCCCAACATTTCCGGTTATTTCTTTTCCATTGAAACTTGCTGAAGATTTGATGTTGAAATTTTCAGATGCACCAGTTTGTGAAATAGAAAGCTGGATGTTCTTGACAACTGGACATTTTGATGTCAGGGAAGCTTGGACGGAAAGTGAAGGAACTGTATCAAAGGACACTTTTCCTTGGATCTTCTTTTCTCCTCCATATGTCAATTCAGTTCCGCACTTGAATTTCTGGATGGATCCCGCATGAGTTAGTTTAAAGATGACATCATTTGTAGACGGTCTTTTAACAAATCCGATAATTTTAACTCTCTTGTCCATTTCAACGTTCAACTCAATTTCAGATTTTTTGCCTTCAAGTGAATATTCAGCATGACTGTTGAAATTTAGTAGACCACCATTGTGTCGGAAGAGGAAATCACTTTCCCTATAATCAGCAAATGGTGTGCGTATGGACAGTGTTCCCTCAAGGGAGTTAATGCTTGAAAATGCTAAATCACCTTCAACAGTCTCACCATTGGCAGATGCCTCAGCATGACATTTGAAGTTGTTCAGACTTCCAACATGTGAAAATGAAGCAGCTACAGTTTTGACTTTTCCATATGTTGTTGTAATTGAGGTTCTAGCAGATATATCATTTGTGGAGTCGAATTCTGTACTAGATTTTATGTTTTCTTTTCCATAAGAGATTTCCAAGTTGGTGTTAAATCTTTTTTGTGTTCCTGAGTGAGATACGCTGGCTCTCAGTGGTTTAATGTAGATAGAATTCACAAACAAAGATCCTTGGAGAGGAGATGATTTCAACGACAATTTTCCGTCTAACAGACTTCTTCTTCCATATTTGATTGCAGCTGTAGTCAAAATGGGAGAGCTTTCATGTGCGAAGGTGCCGTCAATCGTTTCAAAGTATGGTGACTTGGCAAGAACTTTCCCTTCTAGTTTCACTAGGGAACTGAAATTGACATCAATTTCAGATTTGTCATTATTAAGTTCAAATTCGGCATGACTGCGGAAATTGTTATATGTTCCGTCGTGTGATAAGCTTGCCTTTACTAGTTGTGCCGATTTAAAGGGACTTGTGAATTTAAGATAACCAGATATTTGATCTAGAAGGCTCATTCCGATTTCTCCCGTCAATTTCTTATTGGTTCCATCAGATCCTTCGGCATAAATTTGGAAATTCTTCCAGTTGCCTTTATGGGTAAATGTTCCTTGCATCATTTCATAGTCTTTAAAGGGTGTTTGGAGTGAGACCTCTACTGAAATATCTGATCGAGAGTCCACTTTGAGACTAGACAAAATGCGTTTTTTATTCGGGAATAAGATATTGACCTGGTTGTTGAAGTTTCTCAGAGATCCATCATGTGTCACAGAAAATTCGCTTTTTTCAAAGTTTCTGAATGGGGTTTGGAGCGCAATAGAGGTAGCGATCTTGGGATCTATAGCAAACATAATATCTGCATTGTAGAGTTTGTTCTTTCCCACAGTAATCTCCCCATGGGACTGGAAGTTCTTTAGTGAACCTTGATGAGAGAGGATGACACCAGCCTTTTTGTATCCTTTAAAGGGTGTCTCCACCGAAAGGTCAGCCTTGAAGTTTGGTCTGAGAGACATTTTGATATCTGCAGCAATGGACTCTTTTCCAATTGAACCTCGACCACTTGTTTTGAAACTCTTCTTGTTTCCACTAAAGTTCCAAATTCCTTTTACTTTCTTGTATCCTGGTATAGGAGTGACAATGTTTACAATAACAGCAGATGTTGATCCTCGCTTCAAGGTGATATCAGTCGTATATTTCTTTCCTTTTCCGATAAGTGCATTGGTAATTATTCTCATATTTGTTGGTTTACCTTTCTTGGTCATAGTTATCTTAATGGGATCCGTAAAAGGGTTCTCAAGTTGGATCGTTGCTTTTGCTCTCTTTTTCATTTGAGCGTTAATGTTCAATTTATACTGTAGTTTTTTGTCCATCTTTATGTTCCCAGTGGTCTGAAATTTGGAAAGATCACCAGAGTGTTTGAATGATGCTGAAATATCCCTGTGGAATGGTGTTTTTAATGTCACTGAGCCAGTTATTCTCTTTCCAGTTGAAAATACCACAGACCCTTCGATTAAAGCCTTTCCTCCCTTTATGAAAGACGTACTAGTTTCGAAATTGCTTAGACTGCCTTCATGGGAAAATTCGGCTTTCATGTTGTCGAAAAAGGTAGCTTTAAGCTCTAACGACCCAAGAATCTTCTTTGCATTCTTAAACGCTGATATGACTGAACCCTTATGTTTTCCATATTTACCATCAAAAGTGATTTTCATTGGGCTTTCGTGTAAAAAGGATGCCGCAAAATCTTCTGTGAATGGAGAGGAAAATGAAACTGATCCTGTTGAGGATTTAGCCAGTGAAAGCTGCATTTTTGCTTCATACTTCTTTGATTTGCCATACTGGAATTCAGCAGTAGACGCAAAGTCATTTAACTCTCCTTTGTGGCTAAATGAAGCACTCATATCTTTTAAGAGTGGAGATTTGAAGCTTAGCATTCCAGATAGTTGATGGTATTTGGCATCCAATTCGTACTTTTTCCCTCTGCCATACAAAGCGTCAATGTGTGTATCAAAGTCAGAAATGCTTCCCATGTGTTTAAAAGAAGCAGACATGTCTTCATGAAGGGGAGATTTAATGATTACATTTCCAGCTGAATTGCCAAAGTTTCCAGTTATTTCATATTTTTTGGATTTCCCGTACTGCATTTCTGCGTGGGAGGAAAATTGAGATAGAGATCCCTCGTGATTAAAGGCAGCGATGAAATCATTAGCAAAAGGAGACCTAAGTACTAAGGTTCCCTCAACCTTTTTGTTATTTGAATAGGTTATATCACCCTGGATCTTCTTCCCTCGAGTATACTCAATCTCTCCATGGCATTGAAATTGGCGACTATTTCCACTATGGCGAATTAAAGCTGCTGAATAGGGGAGTTCTTGGAATGGTGTTGTTAAGGCAATGCTGCCCTCTAAGTTTTCAAGACTTGGTAGCAAAGTAGACTCCAACTTGATTGTCTTGCCTGGTAAATATTCAACACTCAATTCTGTTGTTTTCTTTTCCCTCTGATCATTATGTGTAAAAGAAATACGGCTTTGTTTGTAAGGTTCAAATGGAGTGTTGACCTGAATGCTGGCAATTATTCCACCATATGAACTCCACTGGGATGTAACAGACATTGGCCCAAAGAGTGGACTGATCATCAGGTTAGCGCTGGTATGGAAGGATTTGGAATTGCCAGAAAACTCGGCGCCAATGGTCATTTTGCGAAGATTTTCATATGGGGTGTTCAGAATTGTATTCAGACTCTTCTTATTGCCCCATTGTCCACGGTTTTCCATCGTGATTGTGTCTCCAGTAGGAAGGACGACAGATGATCTGGTAACAGTTTCACCTCGCTCGTTGGATTGATCCATTGTAATCTTCAGTGTTTTCGATTCATCGTAATGACTCATCTTTGCTTCAAACTTTCCACTCATTAATCCAACTGGGGAAATGCTAAATGTACCATCAATCAAAGCCATTGATTTCTTGTTGGACAGATACTCAATTTTACCAGATAAAGGATAACCTTGATATTGTGAGGACACAGTCAGGGTCTTGGTAACTCCATGACATGAGCAGGTATGTGTTGAGGAGGCAATGCCACTGTTTCGTTTATAAATGTTGATCAAGGAGAAGACTTTCTTTCCTTTAGTAATGTAATGAATCTGGTTATCGATCATGCCAACTCCATGTTCATGTGAAATATCCAAGGCAATATCTTCAGCAATGGCAAATGATGAGCGCAATTCGGATTTGATAGTCATCGTACCACGTGGAAGGGACATGCTCTGCTTTGCATTCAAGTTAAAGTCAATGTTGCTTCCTCCAGAAACAAACTTAAAGCTTGATTGGATGTCTTCAAATGTATTTCTGTGTGACCATGAGGATTCTACTTTATTGGAAGGGCTCCTTAGTTTGATATTTCCGCTGTTCTGCAAATGCAACCCATTTCGGAAATGAGTAATGTCCCCTTCATAGCTGTAAGCTTTTCCATTGTGCTCGAAGTTAATGCTGTTTTCAAACCTCTGTCCATTGTCCACATGTTTCACAGCGGCATAAAGAGAAGTTATATCTTTTAGGGTTGATTTCAGACTCAACCTTCCTGTGAGGTCTCTAGAGGATCCTGAACTTTTGTCTGCAGCAAGGATATCAGCTTGAAGAAAGTCTTTGTTCCAGAAGAACTTGATCATACTTTCTACTCTGTCGGACTTTTTGTTTTTTAATTCAACCCCTGCTCTTTCAAATCCTGGAATAGGCGTCTTTACATCAAGAGTAGCTTCCATATCGTCCCATCGCATGGGTTGCTTTAATGACAGTGTAGAAGACATGCGCTTCATTGGTTTCCAGTCGATGTCAATGTTTGAGGAAGACTTTGTTTTATCATTTTGGTGGCTGAAATCAATATTGATGGATCTGAAGTTTTTGAATGGAGATTGAATTTTTAGACCTGCCTTGTAACCATTCTTTTCCTGTCCATAGGTAGAGTCCATTGAAACCATTTCTTTATTCCACTTTGCATGGGCATGAGTTGTGTACTTATCACCGCTCTGGTGTTTCAAATTAAGACTGCCGGATCCTAGAGGACTTACTTTGGACAGTGTGGCTTCCACGTCTTGATCTCCTTTGGTTAATTCTCCCTGTAGCATCACTTGTTTTGAGGGGTCTTTGTTTGCATCCCATTTGACATCAAGTTTGCTTGAGTACACTGGGTTTTTCATTTTAGTGTCAAACTCAGCTGTGATTTTGCGAGAAGGATACTCCAATTCACCGGCAAGCTGAATACGCGATCCACTTCTGACTAAAGATGATAAAGACATAGCATACTTGGTCTTTCCGTATTGGATTTCTGAATTAGCCTGAAGATTTGAAGGAATAAGCCTGTATTGTCCTGAAACTGTTAGCAGTTCAAATGTTGGAATGTTGAAAGAGGTTGTGATGTCATACTCATTTGTAGCAACATTGCGCAGCGTTGTTTGGATAATGCTCTTCTTCCCATTCTCAAGCTGAACTGTCAGGACGTTGCTGTACTTTTTGGCATTGTTTTGGTCCAATGCATTACTAATGACGATATCTCTACCTGGGATAGAAATACCAAATTTACCCACCATACTTGTAAATTTCTTAGATTTGTCTTTAACCTCTAGAGTGGCACTGTAGGAGGATTTCTTTCCAAAGAGGACATCCAAGGAGGAATCGATGGATTTGGAGGTCTGTACGTGCTTTCCTTTCATTTGGTAGTTCACACCCTATGAATATTAATATGCAAATGGATTCCTGATTATCAAAACAAGAAACCTAAATTAATTGAGCACATTACATTAAAAATTTACTTACCAAATATGGGAAAATGAATTTACTGCTGGCATCAATATTGATTTTCTTCTGTTTCCAGTTGATAATGTGATTCATTTTACTGTCAATCTCGATGCGTTTTTTGAAATCTTTCTTGTTTGGTCCATAAATTGCAATCACATTAGCTTCTGAATGTTTCCAGTTCTTGCTGATGTCTAACTTGACGTTGAGGTTGTAATCAGATTGTTGTTTGAAATTTAAGACCCTGCAAAATATGTAGAGGCATTAGCGATTTTCAGTTTGTAAATATGATAAGGAAATGTACTTATATAAGAAAAGAAATTCATTATTTATCTTACATGTTTCCTTTTGCGGCTGCAAGGCTCTTTGTGTTGCGGATATTCAGTTTACCATTCAGGGTTACTTTGTCTCTGCTGACTCGAGGAATGACATAGTCAAGTGTGGAGCGAACGATGCCTATCTGCTGATTTTTAATCATGAACATTGAAGTCCATTTTGTGGTTAAGACTGGGGACTTAATGTCTACTCTGGATCTAATACCTTTACTCTTTTTGTTGCTGCCATCTCTTATTTGCACTGGAAAAAACAATTACATACATATTTTCTTGATTTAGCTGAAAAGTAAAAGATTCATTAATAAAGTAATAGTTTTTTTTTTTAATAAGTACCCAAGAGTTTCATTGGCTTTGAAACAATGCGGTCGACAGTTAAATCCACTTTCAATGCCTTTCCAGTCTTATACTCTGCTGATCCCCCGAAACTAATGAGTTCCTTCTCTGGTGTTTTGATGGATAGATATGGCCTGTACCTCACAGCCTTCTTTGTTGCCGACATCTGAACTCTGGATTCAATAGCGTATTCTTTCTTCTTCTCAAAGCTGATACTCGCTTTAGCTAATACCACTATTTTTTTCTTGGAGTAGTTGACTAAAATAAAACACATGTAATAATACAAAATGATTTTCTGTGGAATATTTTGAGATAATTAAGAAGACTATTTCACTTGTCAGATACTTACCTTCCGCTTTGATTGGTTGTTTGGATGCCCCAATTAATATCAAATTAGCATCCAAAAGTTTCATTTTTTCGTATTTGATTCCACCTTTAAGTTGGATTGGCTTCATTTTAGGAGCGGATATTTCAACGTGGGGTTTGTACTCGTAACTGTTCCCTTTCCTTGATTTTGTCACCTCTGCAACAACAGAGTATTCCTTCTTTCCGTAGACGAATTTTCCACTGACGTGTTTTAGATTTTTCTCATCCTGGACTTTACCTATGCAAAAGATTGAAAAGTTGTAACATAAATTACATAAATAAAAGTATAGGTTTAAAAACATTATTTATTCACGCTAATAAAAATTTATTACTGAATCAAACCTGTAAAAACAGCTTTAGTCCATGGCGACTGTACACCAAACTCGACCTTGGAACCTTTTTTGTCAAGTAAGAATTCAGCAGAAAGAGTTCTGTCAACTCTTGATCCTGGCGTGTCAAAAGCCATACGGATATTAATGTCTTTCTTGGTCTGATGAAGAATACAAAAATAAAATTAATACAATTTCATCATATCGGAATGATTTTCTTTGTTACTTCCAGATTTATGCATATTATAAGTGTCAATATTTACCTTTGTAAATCTGGCTTCTACGTTGTATGATTTGTGAGAATCCTCTTTCACCAGAGAAAGATCCATGTTCATTGGCCCAGTAAGAGGAAAGTATGGAGCGTTCGCCTCAAGAGATGCATTTGGAAACTGCATTTCTCCGCATAATCTCAATCCAGTGATTTTGGCAAGCTTGAGTCCAGTGCATGTTTTGTGTGTCTGTCTATTTTTTGTGATCATTTTCTGTTCTTTTTCAGCATCACGATGAAGAGTGAAGAAAGCAGTTCTGCAAAAAAAAGAAAAATAAATACGTGTTAAACCATTAGTCCTTTGGGTACAACCTATGACGTATAACACAGACAACTCACTCATTACATAGCATTTCAAAATATCTTACTTGAGACTGAAAATTTCCATTTTGTCTTTAGGCATGTCTAGATTAGCATTAAAGATCTTTCCGTCTTGAAGCTCTACATGACCCTTCAGCAATGTGCTGGAATGAAGTGTTGATACCATCTTCAATCCGCTCTTTGTCACGAAAGCATCAACGCTCATCATGCTCGAGATTTCGACTGCAGCACTACAAATAGAAGCAATTGAAACCTTGATATAGATGTTGTTACTTTAAAACTTAATCACAAAAAGTCTTAAAGACATATTTTTAACCAAAGAATTAAATCCACCTTGGTTGGATCTTTCCGCTGATAAGAAGACTCATGGGACTTGTACCCATTTTACGCAGGTCCGCTTTTCCTGAGGCTTTCATGTCAATCGTGGCAGTTCCGTTGATTGTCAGATTGAGTGGAAATCCAGCACTTGTTGGAATGATCATTGAAGTGTCCAAAAACATGATGTTCTGTGTGAATGTGTAGTCGTGATTTTTAGACATGCTGATCAGCATCTCAAGAATGTTGAAGCTATCACCACTCAAAAGGTTTTCTAGGCCATTGAAACTGTTATACGAGAGTTCGTTTCCAAACACTCGAAGGTAGAGAGCTCCTTTCAGTTGATCCATTCCCATACCAAACTACAAACATATTATAACAATGTAATTAGTTTGAAATCATAGGTTTTACATAAAAGATACTTTTAAATTATAGAAAAAATGCAGTCAGAAAACTCTCTACATACCTGACTGTCAATTTTATTCATTTTCTTGGTATCAACTCCTTTAATGACCTGTGTAGTGGCTTTCTTGACATCTTTTTCAGTGAAGTAGCCATTAGGTCCAAAGTAAGATTCAAGGAAGTATTCAAGACCTTCAACTCTTCCTCCGACTTCCAGAATATTGACCGATTTTCCGAACAGATCCACAGTCAGATTGGCCATCAATGATCGTGGAATGAAGGATTTGGACGACCAGATCAAATTGCTTTCAACAGAAGCCCCAGTGTTGATTTTCTCAAGGAAGAAGGATCCTTCATAATTTCTTGAAAACTTTCTTTTGTCCATGTTGAATTCTTTTTTCAGGTATTCACTCTCCAAGATAGATCTAATATCCTGTTTTAGGGGACTGGAAGATTCCATCAGGTTCGTTAGGTGAGACCAGATAAAAGAACCTACTTGGTTGACTTCTTCTTTCTCAAGAGCATATCGAACAGTAGAGAGAATGCTTGTGGATGGACATTGCATGAGGGCCAAGTAGGCAGCAATGCGCACTTCGGAGTCTTCTTCTTTGTCATTGAAAACCTTTAATGCTTCAGTTCTCTGAAATAAAACCGTCGTTTATTAAGATGATTAAAATTCTACTGGTATATGCTTTCCACTTAAAGGTATAGCAAAATTTGATTCTTCGATTATTCGAGACTTTCAGTTGTGAGATAAAAATGAAATGCATTATAATACTAGGACTAAAGTACGTACGGCATCGTCACAGGAAGCACGACGGAAGGCCTCGATAGCAGCAATTCGTACTTCTACTGGATTGTCTTTACGAGAAATACAGCTGTTAACTGTAGCAGTTGCTGAACTGATGTGGCCGGAATTTCCAAGAGCACGAAGAGTCAAGACAATCTGAGATTTAAAATAGGTAAAAATGTTTTTTTTTTCAAATATTAGCACTAATACATATGTATCTCCCAAACCAAATAACAAATATATTTACATTATCTTTGTTGTTTTCATCTACATAGCATCCATATCCAATTTTATCTTCCAGAGCGGAAATGACGTTAGCGATGTCCATGTCGTTCTCGCATGCAGCGTTCTTGCAGTAGGTGTTAACTAAGGAGCTTACGGCCAGCAGGGCTTTACCATTCTTCTTTAGAAGAGGCTGTATGAGACAAATAATATTCAATTATCTATTAAATCAATGGAATTGTCTTTTTTAAAATAATTTTTCAGATTTAGTCGTTACCTGAACCTCGTTGATCATGTCTTTCGTGGGGCTTGGAATGAAGGCTAATGTTGTCAACCACATGTCAGCTTCGATTCCAGTCACATCATTGTCGTTGATCATTTTAGACAGCATAGCAACGGAGGCTGAGGTTCCAGCCATGGGAATGGCATCCATGAAGAATTTTCTGTTGTAAACAAAGATATCATATTTAATTCAGATCCCGATGGCCCAAACAAATCATTATAATTAGAGAGCAAATGAGATCTTTTTCATGGGGAAGTATACAAACCTGACTTTCTGGTTGTTGTTGCTACAGAGAGAACCACTCTGTACATTGGAATAAACATCCTTAAGTGTCTTGGAATCAGCTGCTCTCATGATGTAAACAAGGTCGGAGAAAAGACGGGGTGTCTCTTGGCGAACATCTTCTGTTGTCTGGGCACAAATGTTCACTAGTTGTCTCTCAATGTCCTTGCGGGTTTTCATGTTACTGGCAACATCATAATGATGCTCAAAGTTCATATCAGTTTTTCGACTTACAGATCCTTGAAAATAAAAATATTCATTTCAATTTCACGCCTTTAACTAGAAGGATTTCGATGGAACTAAATACAATAATAATAGGGAAACCTACGTGCTGCTGATACTCCGCTCTTCTCAGATACGTATTTCAGTGTCTGTTTGCTTTCTGTCACGGCCCCCTTATCGTTACGTGAGAAAGGTCTGAACACGTGTTGTTCAGTACATGAAGATCCCTTCAGGACTCCAGATTTGCTGATTTCCTGCTGGCAGGAGTGACTACTCTTCATGACGGGCATGGACTGGATTTCCTATTTAATGGAATTATGTTAGTATAATTTTACTGATAAATCTACTATTCTTTTTAATAGGCAAATCTTACTGAGGACCTATAACCTACCGATGGCACTCTGTAGGGTGTTCCTTGCAGTGCTGTCTGGTATCCGTGGCGTTCTGTGCAGCCCAAGAGGTTCTTGTGTTTCTTGATTGTCACTGTGTACCACCCATTTTCAGACACTGTGTAATCGGCATCACATGTTCCTGTCACGTCCGCCTGGATTCAATCAAAGAAGTTAAAGGTTTAAGAAATAAAATGAAGGCATTTTTTTCTCATTGTTCAAAAATATTAGTGTGGATTAGTAATTATAAAGGAATAGTTATTAAGTACTATACAGACCTCTCTGACTTTTTGGTCGACCTGCAGATCTTCCATGGTGTTTTGAATCATTGACAGGATACCTCGCTTGATGTTGAGAACCCAGGTCTTTTCACTTTCAGCAGGACACAGAGACTCAATTCGGCCATCTTGGAAAGAGAATCTCAGTGAGTTCTCCTCCAGCTGTCTGCTGAATTCTCCGGACATTGTTGAAAGGATCAAGTTTTCTGGGGAATCGGGGTTTCTTTCGTGGAGTTGTACACTTTTGACCTTCAGCACAAGGTCACATTTTGACAACACTTCCACTTGAACTTTGGCCGTCATTTTCATCCCGGATTTCCCTTCGAAGGCCCCCTCGATGAGAGTCGCTGTGTCCACGTCATAATCGTACTCGTAAGTAGTTCCAGGTTGATATCCGAATTTGGTTGAGTCTAAGCATTTAATAATACCATTTTACGATATGAATAATTTCACTACTGAATTTGGTTGAGTCTAAACATTTAATAATATCATTTTACGATATGAATAATTCACTACTGAATTTGGTTGAGTCTAAACATTTAATAAATACCATTTCTCGATATGAATGATAGTAATTTTATATGAAACTGACTATAAAGGAATTTATACTGGAAAAATAACTCTTTACAAATAAATACATGTTGTTCTATTCAAAAGAAATTGCTAATTGACTAATAACGAATTATAATCACCAGTGCATGAAATAAATATTCAAATTTAATACGTAACATGCTATTGGGTATATTTTGAAACAGCTATATTAGTGTAGCTTTTTACTGTTATCATTTTATTATTATGATAAAAATTGTGGTTTAAAGCACACGTTTAAAGCATTGAATATAAAAAAAATCAAATGAGGCCATATTTTGAAAAAAAACTGTATGTTTGCCCTCTCTAAACAAATCTTTTTAAGATACTCATAGAAACAAATTTATTTTATCATTCATTATGGACTTTTTCTAATCCTGTTAAAAACAATTTAAAACTAACTGTAACTCAAAAGTTATTTAGCTTTCGAAAACTCAGTTGTAGCTACTGACCAAATTTGTTATGCTTTGGGAAAAGGCAAACTAAGGTTATTGACAAGATGTCCTTACGGGTGACGGGTGAAAACACTGAACATTTTGGCGTAATGAGAATATACTGTCACCGGAAACCGGAAGGCAGCTTCAAATTACTGGAGCTTTTTTGCGAGACAACAAACAATATGTTTTCTCTGTCACGTTATAAAGTTACAACAGCTTACGATCCGAATGTTTTAATGATAAACAAGTATATTGAACAGTGTTCCGAAACTCACGTGTTTTAACAAAACGTACTAGTGTAAAAAATGTTATTTAGAAAGAACTAAAATAAAGTTGTCCGACATGAATGTTCTAAATAAATTATAGGTAAACCAGGAATAGTGTAATGATATGTTTAAACTAAGCTTCACTCTTGAAAGGCAGTTCGTCGGATGGGACGTTAAAAGGTGCCCCATGTCAAAGATTGCAACCCCTTGACACGCTAAAGTTTGTTTCTGAAAGCTCAAAAGCCCGTGAAACAATATAAATTAGAAGCAAAGACCTCCTTATTATCAGAGGATGGAATCAGGTGCCATGGAGGTGTGAGTATTGTGGATTCAAATGGTTATTATACCGGAAATATTACATAAATGTAAATATAAATGTACCGGTGTACAGTATTGTTGTATATT